ACGGCACATCACAACAACAACAATAACAAGGGGCATGGCACTGCAGGATAATGCACTGAACTGCAGTATTGATTTTAACTGCTAGGTCGGTGGTTCCAATCCACCAGTCGCTCCTTGAAATCCCTAGACAAAGTCGCTATGGTTTGGAACCAACTTGATGGCACGCAAAAACAACAACCAGAAGCAGGAGAGAGTATAAAAAATAATAGAAATGGTTTTTCATAATAGGAATGGAAAGGCACTAAGGAAGAAAAGAAATAGGAGATACATAAACCAATAAAAATTAAGGAAACAAAAACCAACCAGACAAACAACAAAAAATCCTCCACAAAAGCAAAACAGTTAATGCAAAGTCAAGTCCTTGCATTGTAAATGTTGGCCAGATACAAAATACTGGATTTTGAACTTTAGTATCAAGAGACAGAATATCACATCTGTTCATCTGGTCTCAGACAGTTTGCTATTCTTATTCACAATCTCAAGTAAACCTTTTTTTGATAGGTGCCTACTATTCATTCCAGGTACTTAAAAAGCAACTATATCTCCAGGGGAGGTTTAAGTCAAAAGGTATAGTATGAAAAGTAACTGGTATTAGTCCCAAGATGAACAAGCAAACTCATATTTAGTTTCTACAGCTCATACTCGTTGGATGTAATTATTAATTTTGAAAAACTAATCTGTTGTAGGAGACATTTAAATTATACTGTCAGAGGTTATGATTATTTAAGAGACATCATAGATCAATTAAGATGGCTAAACATTAAAGTAACGCTAGCACAAAAATACTGAGGAGTGGCTTTCATCTTTGGGACTCCCTTCACTGTGAGTTACTTCCGTTCACAGAGTGCTGCTATACTGAGAACATAGATAAAGAAGTGACAATTTTCTGCACCCAGCTCATCAGTGTGCAATTCCTGGGCTAATCTACCCTCAGGAAACACACACTAGACTAGATGGGAATCTATAGCGAGCCAGTTTTTGTTAGGTGCTGTCGAGTTGGTTCTGACTCTAAGTGATCCTTTGCACAATAGAATGAAACACTGCCTAGTTCTGCGCCATCCTCACAATTGTTGTTACGCTAAAGCCTATTGTTGCTACCAGCGTGTCAGTCCATCTCACTGGGGGCCCTTCCTCTTTTACACTGACCCTCCATTATACCAAGCATAATATCCTTCTCAAGGGACTGCTCCCTCCTGGTAATATGTAAAGTATGAAAGGCAAAGTCTCATCATCCTGACTTCTAAGAAGCATTCTAGCTGCACTTCTTCCAACACAGATCTGTTTATTCTTCTAGTAGTCCATGGTACTTTCAATATTCTTCTCCAACATATAAATTATATGCATCAATTCCTCTAGGTCTTCTTTATTTATTGTCTAACTTTCACCTGCATGAGGCTCTTGAAAACATTATGGCTTGAGTCAGGTGCACCTTACTCCTCAAGTAGATACCTTTGCTCTTGAAAATTTTGTGTAGAAGGAATTCCCTTCCATTTGCAAGATCCATATGCATATGGGTAAGTGTGGATCAAATTTACTTTGAGGATGGGTCCACACCAGTCTAGATGGAATACCACCTTGCTCTATTCTCTGTCTAGGAGGTATTGCAAATTGTGGTTTCTCTGAAGGATTATAAGGAAATTGTATAAAATGGACCTAACTTTTTTTAAGTGTGTGTGTTCTTGAACTTGGCAGTGATAACTATGACTATTAAGTCTATTGATGTTCAAACCCCAAAGTCAAATTAGTTGCTATTCTCAGATGCTTCTGCTTTACCTGGTAAAGGAAGGAATTCTGATTTGACACTATTGTCCACATTGCACAGAAGCACCTCTGAGCAATTTGCTACATGATTCACATGCTTTTTTTAAAAACTCCACCCCCCAAAAAAATACTCTTCAAACAAATTAGATTACTTTCTATTTGCTACATTACACACATGCTTTTTTTTTTTTTTTTAAAAGAAAACAACACACTTTCAAACAAGCTAGATTGTTTTCCATTACAACACAAAAGCGACTCAGGGAAGTACAAGCACAGGTTGTTTCTCTCCCTGCATTTATTTCACCAAATATTAGAATTGTGCTGGGTGGGGGGAGGGGAGCTTCTGTTTGTAATTGACTTCCGTTTTCTCCCGCTTAAGAAAAGCCAAGGGACCCAGGTGGCTATTTGTTCCTGCTAAGCAAGGCTGCAAAGCCTGCTGACCTAATTCAAAGAACCAGCTTTAGCTGAGCTTCTTCCAAGTATTAGCTATTTTTTATTCTTTCAGTGCTTATTTCGTCAAAAGTCAGCCCATCTTTCTCCAGCCCTAGTGACCTAAATGCTCTGCTTCCAAAGCTTCTGCTAACTTCTGCCTCACTCCCTTTTATTTGTGGGACACAAGGGATGGGAGTCTTGGTGTAGCACCGTAGGATCAGCAGTGGATTGCTAACCACAAGGTCAGTAGTTCAAACCCACCAGCTGCTCCTGAAATCCTATACAGGGTTGCTATAAGTCGTAACCAACTTGACGGCGCTAAATGCCAACAACAGGGATGGGATGAATCTCTGGCTGTGCAATCATAGAGCACTTAAACTGCTAATCGAATGGTGTGTGGTTCTACGCTTTGGGAGAAAGATGTGGCAGTAAGCTTCTGTAGAGATTTACAACCTTGGAAGCCCTATGTGGCAGCTCTACTCTGTCCTGCAGGGTCACTAAAAGTTGGAATTGACCCAATGGCAGTGGGTTTGGTTTTCTGGAATAAAAGAATACCATTGTTTTGGTGACACAACAATTAAGTGCTTGGCTGCTAACGGAAAGGTCTGTGGTTCAAACCCACCAGCCTCTCCAAAGGGAAAAAAACCTAGCAATCTACTCCTGTAAAAGGACTCATTTTTTCTATGAGTCGGAGTTGACTCGATGGCATGGTAATGTTTAGAATAGTTTAGAGAAAATAACTTTTCAAAAAAATTTTTTTCTCTTATTCTGATCATATCTAGATGAACTACGGGACTTGCCATAAACAAAATTACAAAACAATTCCACTGGGAGTAGCCCAGACCATCCAGAATAATTCAGCTATGAAAAGTCAGCTTTAATTGTTACTCTTGGCAGCAATTTAAGAAACGAGTGAAATATTATACTAAATATTGCCACGTGCAACAGTAGAATACGATTTCCTTCTGACAGAAGCAGTGTACAGCCCCCTTTAGACACAGGTTTGGACCTGGTGATTTAGTCTAAATCCTGTTTCCCCCCTCTCCAAAACCGACAGAGGTTTTCAAAAAGAACTGCATTTTTATTGGAACCATTTGCTCTTTTTAACTTGCCAAAAAGGAATAAGTAAAACTAAGACTTTTATTTGGGCAAAAGTGGATTCCTTAGTTTTGTGGAGGTCAACGAACTTAGTCTGTGAACCTTCTGATGAGAAGCTAAAGGTTGAAGGTTATATTTTGGTCCCTTTCTTCCTGTCCTAGTTTCATGGATTTATACAACAGCAGGATTTGGGAGCATGTGGAAGCTAATCAGAATGAAACATACATATGGCAAATGACATCCTGGATTTTGAAACGAGGGAAACTTCAAATAGTTTTGATGTCACCCATACATTTGCAATTTGAGGATCAGGTGTAGTGATTTGAAGTTCAAACGTGTGATCCCAACAGATTTTTGTGACTATTTAGATTAAAAACTCATGTGCAGTTGCTGTATGATGTTGTCTCCAAGTATAAAAAGGTGTTTGAGAATATTCCCAAACAAAGAGAGATTCTTCTTTTTCTGATAATGATGAAGAAAGTGTTTTATGGGTCTCTGGTTCCTTGGTATATTTAGAGGTTTTTGGCTAAGCATGAGGTTATGATACACTACTTATAAACAATACATTTCCCACATCAACATTTGCATACATCAATGGTCATTCATTAAAGACATACTAAGATCATATGTAAGACATAATATGAAGACAATATTATTCAACTTCCAAAATATTTTCATTGTGGAAGTTAGGGTCCAGAAAAATACACTGTGTCCTGGATTATTGAGTTACCAACCAACTGAGAATTAGGACCTCAATTTATAAGTAGATAGTCTCTCTACCATGGAAAATTGTTTTCATTCAAAGTTGTGGTTCTTAGGTGCTATCCTTAGGAATATATAGTAATACCAAAAAAAAATTTTAATTTGCAGATATGATGAAAAGTAATCTTTATTTTTAACAGATGACAGTAAACTAAAAGCAAAGATGAAATATTTCTAACATATTTAAATTGTGATCATCTGTACATTGAATAAATATATCAACCTTTTAAACATCTGCTTTGTAGAATTACTTTCTTTTTAACCTAATGTATATTATCTATGACAATAAATAAAACAATGACTCTTAATAAGACAGTTTGAGGTAACTATGTTCGGTATCAGTCATGGAAGATTATTCAGCAAATTACTGTTATCTATTGGGATATACAATATAATTACATGAAGATTGAACATGAGAAAGCTTTATAAGAACTTATAAATACCTTAACCTGGCCTATTTTTTTGTGTAAAGTAATATCACTTAGAACTAGGCCTATTTTTTCAAGCTTTACAAAACTAAATTAAATTACCCTAACAACTAGCAGCATTATACTGAAGTGAGCCAGATATATCAATGATTTATTTAGCGAAACAGACACTATAAGAGGTGAGGAATTTAAAAATACATTGCTACAAATATCACTCAGATGATCAATGACAGCAAACAGTAATCTCATAGGTCAAGTATAGTTGGAAGTTGATTGATCTTTTAAAGTATTGACCTATGATGTGGGGAGCCAAGGAACTCTGCCTTCTATGTATTGTTTTTAATTTCTAAAAAGATTAATCTGCCTTTACTTTACTGAAAGATCAAGCTCTCGATTGGTCAACACAAAATTGAAAGTTTCTCTTTAGGGTTGCTATTTTCCTGCTCTCCATTTAAAATGGAGGAAAAAAAATTAAAAAAAAATATTTTGCCTGTGACAGAATATGAAAGAAATTCTCACCCTTAAAACCAGCAGCATTGGTTTTCCAGTCATTAGCGTTCAAATGTCCTGCACGGGAAGTTCTGACAATAACATGCTGCACATCTCTCCAGGTCAGAAACGGACTGGGGAAAGACAAGGTAAGAATCATTGTACCAAAAAAAAGAAAAAAAAAAAAATATGGGGGAAGCAGAGAGTCACAAGCAATTAAAAAAGCAAAATCAAAATGGCAAAGTACTAAAAACAAAGGGCCAGGACAGGAGACTTTGAGTTTGGGATGAACAGTCTGATGAATGTCATTCTTGTTCTGAGTATGGAGAGGTAACATTAGTCTGGGGAAGGGAGAAAATATACCCTTAAATTTAAGAGATAATACGATATGCTTCAGTGTAACTGAGTGTTTGAAAGAGCAAAGATTTCCAATTTCCTCAACAAAATTGCTGCCAATTGTGGTATCTTCATCGTCTAGTGTGAAAGCTTGCATCCTCACAGGAAAATTACAGTAAGCTAAAGGCAAAGCTGAAAGCCTCTGGAAACTTTCTTGTTCATTTGTACAGCTAAGGCATTTGGTTTGTAATTTACCAAAGTGCTTAGCAAGAGTTCGCCTTCTGCATACGCGGGGTATGAAAAAGAAAAAAAAAAAAAAAAGCCTCAGTTGAAAGCTACTCCATTTTCCGGGTTCTTTAAAGAAGAGAGTATGGTATGGAGACAGAGTTAGGCTCCAAGACACAGACCGATATGGGAGTATTCTTTATATGCAATACATAATAATAGTTTGGGGAGCCCTGGTGATGAAATGGTTAAGTGCGCAGATGCTAACTGTTAGGTAAGCTGTTTGTACCCATTCCTTGTACCACAAGAGAAAAAGACTCATGAGCAATCTGCTCCTATAAAGATTACAACCTAGAAAACCCGATGAAACAGCTCTACTCTGTGAGTTGTCAACTCAAGGGCACTTAACAACAACAAAATTAATTGTACTAGGAGTCCAGGGGTGGTGCAAGTGGTATATGGTTAACCATTAATCACGAAAGGTTGATGTTTAAAATCTACCCAGAGGCATCTCAGTAGAAAGACCTGATGTTCTACTTTTAAAAAAATCGCAGCTATTGAAAAGTCTGTGGTGCACAACTTTAGTATGAGTTGGAATTGAACTGATGGTATGATGGCAACAACTTTGGTGTGGTGCTGTGGGTTAATGCGCTGGACTGCAAAGTTGGTTTGAACCTCAAGACTGTCAGTTCAAGCTCATCAGTCGCTCCTAAGAAACCCTATACAGGGTTGCTATGAGTTAGAACTGACTTGTCGGCCCTTAACAATAAACAAGTTTGGCTTTGGTTTAGTAATTATACTAAGTTATTGGATATCTATCTCTGGTAGCTGTTAGTGATGAATAGCACAAAGAAGTTATTGAATAGGATGTGTATTTACTGGAGAACTGCAATTAGCACAAACATACAGAAAATAACTCCACATACAAACTTTTGCTTGCTTTTAAAGAATATAGAAAAAAATATATGGGCTTTTAAAAGTTTGTGGAAAAATCCCATTTTTCCATGAACTTTTTGAAATTCCCTTGTATTCCCATTTCATGCATCCCCATTGAGGCACACTCCTCACTGGGGTTGAATGAAATTCAAAATTAGGATACTTACTCAATTCAGAATTGGCTATGAAGTGGGAGACTCTTACAATTAACTAAGAAATCGTGCTATTACCATGTAATTTGTTCCTTTATGTATTCCTTGTATGCACCTTCATTTTGGAAGGCATATTTGCAAAAGATAGGTGAGAAGACTTTGGCAAGAGGATAAAACTACTCATTACCTGCTCAAGTTGTGCCAGGGACATGAGATAGTCTCTATGCACCCTCATAAATGCAGGCTGGTAGGCACTGGGACCTCCTAGGCAGGGAGAGAAACTAACCTCTTTTTTGCATCTCTCTTTTGTTTTAAATTACACTTATTTTGCTGTTGCAGCTGAGATTATACACAGCAAAACATATACTGATTCAAGTTTCTACACATACAATTCAGTGATTCTGAGTTCTGGGTGTGCAACCAAGCTCATCCTTCTTGTCTGAGTTTTCTCCCTTAGTAGCATCAACTCATTGTCTGATAAGGTTCCTATCTAATTTCTGATTTGCTGTTGTAAATTTAATCCCATATGTTATGTGCCGTGGAGTTGGTTCCGACTCATGGCGACCCTGTACAGGGTTTCCGAGGGTGTAAATCTTTACGGGAGTAGAAAGCCTCATCTTTCTCCCACGGAGCAGCTGGTAGTTTCGAACCGCTGACCTTAAGGTTCGCAGCCCGATTCGTAACCACTACGCTACCAGAGCTCCTTAAAAGAGCATAATGCTGAAGGCGGGTCTTATTTTTTTAGTTAAGCTAAACTATTGCTCAGTTCAGAGAATAATTTTGGTTTAGGGTTTAAAAGTGATCCTGGGGCAATCATTTCATGGTTGCATCCACCATCCATGGTTCTAAAAAGTCAGGAGTACATGAAAGTTAGAAATTTTGCTCTACACTTCTCCCCTTTACATCAGGATTCATTTATGGAATCTTTGATCAAAATGTTCAATAATGGTAGACAGTTCTTCCTGTTTTGTGACAAAGGAGGCATTTTTTCATGGGTACAATTAGCTCCATGCTCATGTTGTTGTTGTTATGTGCCGTGGAGTCGGTTCTGACTCACAGCGACCCTATACTGGATTTCTGAGGCTGTATATCTTTACGGGAGCAGAAAGCCTCATCTTTCTCCCACGGAACAGCTGATAGTTTCGAACTGCTGACCTTAAGGTTCGCAGCCCGATTCGTAACCTCTACGCTACCAGAGCTCCTTGTTGTTGTTAAGTGCCATCGAGTCGGTTCCGACCCATAGCGACCCTGTACAGGGTTTCCGAGGGTGTAAATCTTTTCTCCCGCGGAGCAGCTGGTAGTTTCGAACCGCTGACCTTAGGGTTTGCAGCCCGATTCGTAACCACTACGCTACCAGAGCTCCTTAGCCTCCTGATGTTCCTGACTCCCTGTCTTCAGCTCTGTTATTCTGGCTGACTACAGACCAATTGCTGTGCTTTGGATGGTTGCTTGAAAACTTCTTAAAAGCACAAGCACTACACATTGAAGTAGGAGGTAAAAGCAGTAAACATGTCACGAGGTCAGTTCACTGGGATGGCCCATGAAACCATGAATCTAAACTTCCAAACCATGGAGCCAAATCCCATGAGGTGTTTGGTCATACATAAGCAGCCTTAGCTACTCTTTTTTAAAAAAGTTGCTATAAATATACCTACCACACATCTTTTGACAATAGAACTTTTTACAGGTATACAACTCACTGACAGTAATTTTAATGATCAGCTGCAGAGTCCTACCCTTAATTAATGCAAGTTGTCCGTCATCATTAACACCTTTCCTCATTTTGCTTCATCCCACTCCTGGTAATCACTAGTAAATTTTTATCTCTGTACATTTGCCTTTTTATATAACTGAGATCATACAGTTACTGTCTTTTTGTGATTGGCTTATTTTATTTAGTATAATGTTTTCAAGATCTATCTATACTGCAGCATGTATAAAAACTACATTTCTTCTGCTGGCTGAGAAATTCCATTATGTTTATGTACCTAATTTTATTTATTCAATTATCTTTTCATGGGCATTTCCACCTTTTTTTTCTTGTGGACGGTGCTGCAATAAACGTTGGTGTACAAATATCTTTGAGTCTCTGCTTTCAAGTCTTTCAACTCTTCTAGAATTGCTGGGTCATAGGGCAGCTGCAAGATGCTATAAGTTGAGCACTGGATTGCAGTTCAAGCCCAACAGCCAACTTTCAGAAGAAAGATGAGGTTTTCATCTCTGTAAAGAAAACCTATACAGGGTTGCTATGAGTCAGAACCAGCTTGATGGCAGGGGGTTTAGTTTCGATACGGTAGTTGTGCTTTTAGATTTAGAAAAACTGCCACAAAGCAGTTACATAGCGACTATACCATTTTGCATTCCTGTCAGCAATGAATAAGGGTTCAGATTCTTCCATGTCCTCAGCAACATTTGTTATTTTGTTGTAGTTTTTCCATCTTAGCCATCATTTGTTGGTGTTGTTAAGTGTTGTTAAATTGGTTTTTACTTATAGTGACCCTATAGATCTTCTGAGGAGCAGCTGTTGAGTTTGTACCATTGACCCTGTGCTTCAAACTGACCCTTGCTGTCCAGTGCATTATCGTGTAGTGCTACACCAGGACTCACTGTGGTTTTGATTTGTATCTTTTTTATGGCTAATGACTAAAGCATCGTTTCATGTGTCTGGTGACCATTTGAATGTCCCCATTGGCGAAATGTCTATTTAAGTCCTTTGCCCATTTTATGATTGGGTTGTCTTTTTTCTGATGGGTTGTTACTGTTTTATATATTTTTTTGGTTATTAGATTCTTGACTAGATTATTAGCTAATTCTTAATGATGGAGCTTCACCTTCGACTATGTTTTCACCAAATAATCACAACACACTTTTTTGGGGTTCCCCTTCTAATAGTGGAGGACACAGGAATCACATGTTGGTTCCTCCACTGTCTATGTAACGTTTACCTCTCGCAGCATTCCCCAGGCCCACACTCAAATGTGAGTGTTAATATGTAATGTACAGAGTTGTAACAATTTAATGAGTTAGGTAATGCCAAGGTCCCCAGTTCCTGGCACCTAATAAGTTGTAGTCGTGAGGGGGCTAAAATATGTTTGTGGAAATATTCCATTATCTTTAAACTCTATTTTCCAATGAACTTTTTGAAAACCCCTCATATTACAACATTTTGATAAATTAAGAGCTACAATTCTTATTTAGTGTCTTGAATATAATGAAGACAGGGAGAGAAGAAAGGCATTCTTGAGTTCTTATACTTTTCTTAGTCCTTCAGATTAAAAGTAAAAGCTGAATGAGTATTACCGTTTTCAAAGTTTTCAGAAGGGAACAAGATAGGATCTAGACTATTCTATAATATTGCTTGAATAAAAGACCTTATATTAATGAAATGAAAACCCAAATAAACCAAACCCCACACCACGCCCATTGCCACTGAGTTGGTTCTGACTCATAGAGACTCTGTGAAGGATTTCTAACACTGTAAATCT